ATAAAATGATCGTTCTAAAACTTTCAACACAGCAAGTTCAAGTTATAGATCATTATTTGATCAGATTGACAGCTAAATAATTCTGTACCGTCCACCATCGATACTTCAGGTAGTTATAATTACAACTCTATCAGTGGCTAAGTGTGGCTTGATGTGCCAGTATTATGTATCCTGACATTGAAAACCACTTAGGAGTTTTGCCCTCGAAGGCCAAAATTCTTCATGGTTTCCTCATCTTCATCTATTTTATGGTCCTTCATGCTCTCCAAGAGCCCCTCCAGTTCTTTGCCATTTCTGATTATCGCCTTCAAGAGAGCATGATACATATCTCTATTTGCTGGAACCTTAGTTTCTCAATAATTTCACAAAAGCTTCTGCTCTTCAACTTCTCCATTCTCACCTAGCCAACTCAATATGCTAGATATGTATTAAAATTGATTTTGGACTCTAATATATATATATATATATATATATAAATATCTATATATTTTGGGCCTGTAGAGCAAGAGCTTCCTTAAAGCACTTAAAAGCCTTCTCCATAATGTTGTTATCCGCGTATCGAGCTGCAACAATAGGCCAACTGATTGGACTTGCAGTCTTCCTTCTCTTCATTATATCCTGTAGCTTTGCTTCGGCCTTCTTTCTTACAATATCCAATAAGAAGGACATTTGGCACTTGGAAATCATAAGTCTTCCAGGACAACTCCCACTTATAAAGCAACTTTTCAGTTTCTTCAAGCTCACCAAGCTTCATCAATGAACCCAGCATCCTTATGTAGTTTATGCTGGTATGTTTCCTACATTTGACCTTTTGAAGGTTCCCAAACTAGGATACAATGAAATCAAGTGGTCATAACCTAGTCCATTTTTACCTACTTTTTTCTCACATTCCTTGAGATAATGAAGTGCCTTTTCATTAAGACCTGCTTTTATGTAGTAGTTTGACATTATGGAATAAGTATCCCAATCCATTTGAATCTGCCCTTGGCATTCCATCTCTTGTAGAACCTTGTCCACGCTATTGTAATCAGCTCTTGTCGCATCAGAATTTATGCAAATTCTATAGCTGAACCTGTCGGGATTTTCAAGTTGACCTGTGATTGTCTAGAGGCACATAAGGTTATTGTAGTCAAGAGAAGAGGAAAGAAAACCCATCTCCTTCATCTTCTTCATAAGGGAAAGGGCCTCGTCGATCAGGCCTTCTTGAACATAGCAATTTAGAAGAGCACCGTAGGTGTTGACAGTTTTATCTTGGTCTCTCATGCTGCCAAAGAAGTTCGGAACTTTGCCCATGAACTCTACCAATTAGCCCATAAAAACATGGTGAATTTCAATATCACTTCACCTACATTGAAGACTTTGTCTCTGGACATAGGTTACAGAGATAATCATTTTGAAACTCGTGATGAAGACAAGGTTGAAGCACGTATTTTTCTTCCAATATATGGAACTCATCTCTTCCTAGCACTTAACAATGTCAAGTGTCCTGATTGCGTGGGAAACTCCCTTTGGACACACTGGTAAGAGACACTAACAATGTTCTTTATTACTGAAATTATAGAGTTTATACTTAATACATTATCAATGATTTTTTTTTTCTGTGCTTTAGACTGCTAGAATTTGATTCTGGTCACTTCACTTAAACCAAGAGTCCAGCACATGATACATTAAACTCTAATACATTATCAGTGAATTACTGTTTCTACTCTATCAAACCTAATATGGTAATGCTAGTTATTGTCAATGGTACCCACTACTTACTATTTCTCTTCTTTCAGGCACATGATTCTTTTCCTTTGTTCGTTAATTTAACCCGACTGTTGCTATCATGTGTTGATGAAATTAAATGGGATCTGCTATCGCTCTTCCTTGAAAATTCTCATAAACTAGAAACTTTTATAGTTCATAATAAGGTCAGTTGAATATAGACAAAACTTTTCTAATTCTTCCTAAACTATGATCTTACGTATGAGTTGTGATGTCTTTTGTCTCCAGATATTCACTAGCAATGGGTGTGAAAGCCAGTGGACACAGCCAAGGGATGTCCCTATATGTATTTTGTCAAGTCCAACAGGGTATGTTTTAAAATTTTGGAAGGATTGAAAGATGAACTGAAAATGGTAGGGTACTTTTTACCGAATGCTAGATTGTTGAGGACAACGGAAATCTAAACCAATAATCAGTCTTCAGGTTCAAATATTCGTGATGCTATTGCTAAAGTGTTGTGGACAAGGGAAACCTACACCAGTAATCAGTCTTCAGGTTCAAGATTCGCAGTTTCAAGAGACAACTTTCAATGTTGCCAGGGTTCTCGGAGACTTGTGTTTCTGTTAACTCATTTAATCATTGGAAAATTAAAAAATTTCTATTAAATTTGAGATGGATATTCTTATTATTCATTAGTGTTGGCACAAATATATGTTCCTTTGCTTGATTATCTGATGTGAATATTTGGCATGAAAAAGTTTTGAATTAAGTCAAACATACATCGAACATATATGAATGCATTCATAGCAATTTTTCTTTGCAAAACGAGCTGAATATTTGACATAAAAAGATTATTGTTTAAACCATAGTTTTAGTCTAAGATGGAGCTGTGAAATGTGAACAGTTATATGAAATAAAAGTTAAATTATAGCATATTTGAAAGCGCTAGTATATGTTATAACATTTCCTACTCAAGTTTTTTTTATGTATTGATATTAATCAATGAATTTATAAATGCATGGCCAAATGGGAAAAAAAACATTTTAGAATTATGATTATAGAATTGCTCATTTTTACTCTCTTTCTCTGTTTGGTAGGCACAGGCCCATCTCACTCATCACCGGTGCCTCTTTGGTACAGTTAGCAGGGACTGTCTCTTTCTATGCAAGCTGACTATTGGAGAGGGTTCAAATGGTTTTTGTTCATAGGAAGGGCGAGCAGGGTTCATAGTTGATCTTGAATCCATTTTGGACTTTAGATATATAGATTTAGGGTTCACTATTTAGGGTTTAGGGTTTAGATATAAACTGCTATTATGTTATATTAGCCAGACCAATTGATCCTAACTGGCGAGGCTCACAGCCTTTTTTGTTTTTTTTGTTTTAAATAAGTATTAAGTAATTAAAACATCTTGCTTTTGGGAGCAAATGAAGTAGCAAGTGTCTCTCTCTTTTCCATTTGTTTGTTAATTGGTCATGACAGCTGAGGTGTGGTATCACTCTTCCTTCAAAATTCTCATAAACTAGAAACTCCTGTAGTTCGTAATAAAGTCGGTTGAATATAGACATGGATTGCAAAACCTGAGATCATATGTATGAGTTGTGCTTTCGTTGACTCTAGATATTCACTAGCAATAGGTGAGAATGCCATCAGACACAGCCAAAAGTGTCATGGTCATTGGAGGAGACATGAATCAACGTTGACTATGAACTAGAGATAAATATAACTATTCACACTACTTTCAACTTGTGATATGTTTTTTTATAAGATAAAACGGATAATATTTTACAAAGTCGGTGTGATGTGAACCATGACACAAACATGTACACTGATGTGTCTCTTATCAAGTCTAGCAAAAGTACGTATGTATTAATGTTAGCTTATAACTTTTCTATATTGATCATGCTTTGAATATTGCATGAAGATACAGTAAAAACTTTTAAGAGTAGACGATGGGCTCAACTACTAAATCTTACGTACTTGCATTAAAGATCAAACTAATTGTTAGTATATCTGTCTGCCCTAGGTTGGAGATGAACAGCACCAAAGCATGATTCAAAATTTTTTTTGTTTTTTTGGTCATACCTCGAAACTATTTGTATTAGAAAAGTTGTAAGGTTGGAACATGAGCTCGGATTGATAGAACACATAGGGCCTTGAATACAATGACAATCTGGAGCTATGGTTTCTTTTCGGCTTCAGATTTCCTTCTTCACAACAATTTATCAATGATTCAAAGGTGCTCTGAGACTCGTAAACTTGAATTCAAATGTGAAGAATCAGCAGTCCTAAAATTTCCCGGCCCCTTACTGATGTAATAAAATCTTCTGTTGCATATATATGACACTTAATAATTAAGTCTAACTTAATATTATTGATATTCTTATTTGGTTATCTTGGCTGTAACACATCTCATGAGAATGTCCAACTTTGGAGTTTGATTTTCGATTTCTTAAGACTCTCCAGTCACTAATCCTTGAAGTATTCTTGAAACCAGTGTTACAGGCTTAAAAACAATGTAAACATGTCATTGAATCGCCAGAGAATTAAACTTCGAAGTAGCCCTAAATCTCACCACCTGATCAGTCAGAACAAAACATATGGATTAAAGGAGAAAACCATCCCACATCGCTTCAAAACAAGATACCCCTTGTTATTTATATATTCTAAACTCAAATCAGATCAGCAAGGTGATGGAACGGTAGGCTCTCCTCCACGGGGTCGGATTTCGGGTGGTTATTTGGCTTGCCGATCTATACATGGAGTTGAACAATACGAACCCTATTACCTATGTACAGGAGGAGTTGAACAATTAGACAATGAGACCCGTATGCACAGAGGAGCAATGTGTGTGGAGGAGCCGCCCCCCTCCCACACTAAGCGTGGAAGGCTAATTGCAAGACAGTGCCCTCTGAAAGAGGATGGCTCTGTGGGTGGTTCTCCTACTGATCCATCACCTTTTTTTTCCTTTTTCGGCATTTCAAGTGTTCAAACGATAAAAAAATTATGAAAAACATATATAGATAAATAGATTATTGATCTAATCAAATGTTGCTGTTATTTTTTATTTAGATTCTTGTCTATCAGATTACAAAAGTTTAAGGCCAAAAACATTTCAAATATAGTATTTTGCTCCCAATATTCGGGGACTTATGAATAACATTGTTAAAAGGGAAAACTTCAAAAAAAAAAAAAACATAGATTCAATGACATTTATGTCAATATCCTTTGTATCCTAAAACCATCAATCTAAAAAGTACTAGTTTTTAGGATATTTTTTCTTTATGAAGTAATTAAGAGAACTGTTGTGTTGAAGCAAATGTTTGTCCAAACTTCCAAGTAGGAGGAACGACATTGAGAAACTCCAATGTTTTGCCATCGACCAAAGTTAGCTTAAAAGACAGTCTTTGGTTTCTTTGATCAATGCTGCTTTGCCAATTAGCTCCCCAATTCCTATTCATTGGCAGCCATGTTCTCGTTCTCGAGCCTCTTATCCATGCCGCCTTCACGTTACCACTGCCCCCGACATTGGAGATCATCACCATGTTGAAACTTGATTGCCCTTTCAAGGTGAATCGAACTCCACCTCTCCTCTTGCATGGCACCCTTCAAACCCAATGAAAACATGTCATAGCAATTTTATTTTTCTATTAACAAGAAATTCACCATCAATATTAACATTAAGATCACTATCAATTTCCGAAAACATATAAATTTTTTTCTTTCAAAAAAGTTAGTATATATCAAACTTCATCAGAACTTTTGGAAATCGTTATCAATATGAACATTAGGATTTTTTTCGATAATACATTAATGCTTTAGAAGTATATACCTTCATCAAGTTTTGATTCAACTTAATCTTTTTCTCCAATTATTCTAGAGCACACTTTTTTATATATCAATTTAGTACGTCAGGATTTTCCTTCTTTTACAAGATTGGTAACCATATGCAAAATGTTAATTGTACCTCCTATAGAGGACCGGAACAATGCCTTCGTTGCCATTCCGGGCAATGCGAAGGAAGGCAGGCATCGACATGTCGAAATGCTGACGAGGAGGATTGCACCATCCTCCATTGTTGTTGGAAGGGCAAAAGTTGGTGGCTGTGATGGTCACACTAGCAAGTCGAAGGCACCACTTGGGGTCAGCCCTATAATCGCACCTTACTTGGTAGCAAGCCCCGCATGCCTCACCCTCTTTAAATAGTGCACCACTCAAAGCGGCTGTGTTTGCTCCAAAACCAGCATGGAAGGTGTTATCATATCCACAAGCTCCTCCTATATATAATAACATCAACATCGAATAAATAATTTTTAAAGATCAAAGTTGAAGATCATAATCCATTTAACTTCTTTAGTTTTAATATGAATATTGGTTAAATTTTATGTTCATGAACAGATATAAAACCCATTAGGCTCATGGCATGCATGGTCATGTAGCTCGAATGTGAGCATGATTTGAAAAAATTTAATAATTTGTTGGGCAACCCAATTTAACACTTTTTTTTTATTTGAGTTATCATGATTTGGTGAGCATGATTTATAATTATCATTGAGTTAAAATATTTATGTTCAAGGAAAAATTTTAACAATTTTTCCAAATTCAAACGTAAAGGGATTTTTGCATTTATCCATTATTATTTTTGGATTGATTTAAGCAAACTTACTTAAGTCAAATCTAATAAATTTATTAAAAAATATTCTTTATAATTTTGAACGAATTCCAATGCAAGTAAAAAGAGAAGAAAATTGTAAATTAAATATACACCTATTTTGAAAGATTTGAAAAATTACTTCTAAAAATACAAAATAAAATGAATATGAAGTAATTATGAATGCAAAATTAAACTTTAAAAACCAATTTACATATGTAAAAGAACAATAAAGACTATAATATATATATATAATCTACTAATGTGTACTATAATTATATAACTCATCAATTCAATTTATTTTTATAAATAAGATTATTGGATAGTTAATTAGAATATAATCACAAAATTATATAAAATTTCTATCTATCATTGACAATGTGGGCTTACCAAGAGAAAAGGGACTTTGGTCAGCCCCATAGAAAGTTGCATGAGCATTTAACCAGCCATTAACTTGAGCATTGACTCCTTGGAAAATGGTGATAACAAAGAAAAACAAATGCCAAAGCAAAACAGAAGGAATGATGAAAGGCCCCATCAAATTTTCTCTCTAAACAAACAACGAATTTCTTTTAACTTCACAAAATTCATGAAGAAAGAGCCTCCATTTTATAGACTCCAAACGCGGTTTGTCGGTGATTATATATTACAATCTTAGATCTAAAAATTTACTTCATTTATTCTTTTTTAATTGCATTTTTTTGCAAAAAAAAATTGGTTAAAATGAAAGGAAAAAAAGAAAAGGAAAAGAAGTAATATGAAAAAAAAAAAAAAAAAACGCGTTTTTTCACGTCCTAAAACGTACGGAAGAATTTTACGGTTAGAGGTGAGACAAGTGCATGTGATGGCTAATGATGATATACTTTGTCTTAAGACTGCTTTTTTAAGGCCGTCTGTCGGTGATAAACTAATTCTTTAATTTTATCATCTCAGATTAAACTGTTCCCAAATTTTTTTTTATACATATGAAATTGTATAGGAAAATTGAAATAAAAATTATAAATTCTTTGAAATTTAAATTCTAAATTTAATAAATATATTTTTAAAAAATTATTAATTCTAATTTCGAATTTAAACTGTTAAGAATTTATGATCATTTATTTATATAAATGCAGAAAATCCATTCCTCTAGACATAATTGTAGTATAGAAGATATATATAATATTTTAATGTTCCCAAAAAAATTTTTTTATTTGAAGAATCTCAAGTCGAGTTTTAAATACTGTTTAATTGAATACTTCCATGTATTTATTACAAAAGAGTATTATAGCTTCCACGTATTTAGCATAAAATATGCAAAAATGAAAATATCTATATGATTCATGTTGAATAAGAACAAGGGGGGATGGATTGTAAGATTTTTTTTTTTTCATTTTTTTTAATCTTATCATGAAAAAGTTGGGTGCATTTGTTGAAAAGAAAGAAGGAAAACCACAATTGAAGATCACTATCATGGTGATTGGTGATATCCTTCAAAATGATTAATAGAGAAATATGTGCCATTGACAATGGCAATGAAAATGAGTAGAAATAAGTACTAAAAAAAGCAAAATTGTTATGTGGATGAATTTCCTAGTTGTTTCGTGGGAGCATCACTTCATGAAGTAAGCGAAAGAAAAACTTGGCACAACAGACTGCCAATTTGACAAATGACACTCCACCGACCAAAAAAAATTCAAAATTGAAATCAAAATTTTTATAATTCATATAGTCATATGTGAAAAAGATTGAAAGATTAAAAGGGTAAAAATTTTTCTACTAAATAAATAGGGTAAAAAGGGTAAAATTTTGACAAAATATTAGAATCAATTGTGAGGGATTTTCTTTTTTTTTTTTTTTTTAATATACCATATGAATAGATGCAAATGATGTGAAGGAATTGAATTTTTGTTCAACGCAGGAGACACCAACCACCTAAATAAATAAAGATTGAACGAAAGCAACTTTTCAGCCATTGAAGTTTTTATAATCAAGGGCTTGGCTCAAGTTGTTACTGTCTTCTACAGCTTAAGGCATTGTTAAAGGTCTTTCCTTCAAGTTTAATTCATCGCCTTTTTCACTTTGTTCCCTATGTGACAAAATCCACTTGCAAACCTCTTTTCTCATATTCCATTCCATGTGACGAAGAATATTAAAGAAAGGAGCTAATCAAAAGGGGAATATGTGTTATAATAGTGGAAACTTCAAAGTAGCATACAAAGCATATCCCAAGGGACTGATGACTGGTGACTCTTAGCCTGTTGCATAAGAGTTTGATACTTGATTTGCTTGAGAATTTCACAAAAAAGAAGAAAGGGATTGAGCTGTCCATTTCTATTTGGAGGATTCAAACAGGGGATAAGCTCAACTCACACCAATCCCATCTCATTTTGGTTTTACCTCATGCTTCAGCAAAATCAACCAGAGATTTTACTACATTTCTGCAATCTTAACAATTTTTTTTTATACAAAAAAAGCTGCAACCTGAAGATAGAATGGGTTGTAAATGTTAGGATTTAACTCCAGACCAATTCAATGTCACCTCTTAAAGATGGTTGCAGAAGATAAGTTCCGGATTCACATCTTTACAATTTTAGTTTAAAATAAATCAAACCTAGTCCAATTGGCACACAATGAGAAAGACATCATATATATTAGTTTTCGCCTAAATCTAAATGCAACAGCCACCAGAGGAATGCTTCAAACAGAAGTATGATAACTTAGAATCCTGTTCCTTCCCAGTTCTTGAAAAATGATAGTACTATATACATATAAATATCTGAGAGAAACTTTCACAAGCGAGTTCCTCACAAATTTTCCAACAACAACTGTGTTTGGTCTGTTCATTGACTTGTCTTTTTACTACTATACAGCTCAAAGTTAATACTTTTCAAAACAAGAGGAGACAAAGAATAATGCAACAGAAAAGAAAGATGGATACTCTACTAAGAGACTTGTCAACCTGCATTTCCTGCCTTCTCATCCTAAGATTGTTATTCCCCGAAAAAGGATAAGAAGCTTGGTAAGGATAAGAAAACAAATTTGTGTTTGAGCTCCCAAATATCCTAGCATACACCATTTCCCCAAACATCCCAATCACTGGATTGAAGAAATTTGTCATGGCTATACCACCGAGGCTAGATGATGCTAAGGTTGCATAACCTCCGTAAGAATGAGGGAAATATTGCTGGTGATGAAAGGATTGAGACTGAGAATGGAACAAATTTTCCTGAATTCGCTGACTCGGATGCGAAGAAGTGTTCATAGTGTTCAATCCAGAAGGAGATGGTCTTTGGGGAATGACCAGATCTGAGTGGGGATTCTTGGATTTAAAGTCTGAAGATATACCACGACCATAGAGGGGAACCAAGGAGCTGGAAGAGATGTTCGACTTGCACACAGGGCAATTCTGCTGTCGCTGGTCTGCATCAAGGGAAGAAGTTTGAACATGAAGCCACTTGTAAATGCATGGCCAGCAGTACAAGTGACCACAAAGGGTGACTACTGGATCTTGTGCTGAGTCAAAGCAAATGCTGCAATCAAAGCGGCCAGCATCCTTTTCTAGGTCTCTTGTTGGTACTGATATTGGATTCCATTTCTGCTTGAGAGAAATATCTCCATCAGAATCAAAGTGCGCTTCTTGCTCAAAGAAGTTTGGTTCCATAGCCATTCTGTAGGATATAAACAGTTTAAATGAAAGCATATACAGGTAAACCAATCACAACAGCAGGGGATCATTAGAAATAAAGACAGACGAAAAGAAAGAGGGTGATTATATCACTTCCATACATGAAGCATGAGAGCAAATTGTTCACTAGATTGCAAAAGAATGTTTCTTACATGCATAAGCATTCACAGCAAAATGTCTATAAGCAAAGTTTGATAGTGTGCTCCTTGATGAAAGAGAACTTCCATAGCATCCAGCCAAATGAAAAATGCAGATAACAATGGTTAATTTTAAACATCTTTAGCTAAAAACCGAACTGCCTTTTATGTTAGCTCGTTTATAAAAACATCTTAATTCACAATCAAGAACCTCAGATGGAAAACAATTTTCTCTCTTCTTTATTTCATATATTCTTTATTTATTGGAAAGAAAGATGGGAAATATAACTTCCTCGATTTAATAAATTATCCAAAAACTATTTGATCTTCAACCGAATCAAACACACTTTAATCATTGAAAAGGCAGCAGATAAAATACTAGAAAAAAGATTGATGCTAAGGAAGTGCCAACAAGTTAGAAGAAATAGTGCACCAAATTACAGAACATGACATTTTATTTGAAGATTGGCAGAATCCTATACATGAAGAAAAAAATTTTCATGAAATTAAGGATTATTACCAGAAATACAGATCAATTCAAACTCTGACATTGTTCTTCTAAATTACAGAAGATCACATAGATCTATGAACAAAAAAGACAGCTCATATGCAACCAAAACAAAAAGAACCTATGTAAAACAATTCCATTATGCAATAAGAATTGACTTTTTATTACAATTTTAAGACTCAACAAAATTTAAAATGAAGCCTCAACCTCATTCAATTATGCTCATCAAAGTACTGTAAATCAAATCGCAATCTTTCTTGACAAAAATCTTAAATGAAAAAAAAGATCTTGAAGAAAGTTTACATATTTTCATTTTCAAAAGTTTATTTTTTCTTAAGTTAATAACTAGGAAACTAATATAACAAGCATCAATAATCCAAGCCACATTTAACCAAATCACATCCTTCTTTAAATTCAAGAATCAAGAACCAAATCTAAAAAGAAAAAAAGAAAGAAAAGGGCTCCTCTTTTATGATCATATGTCTGACAATCTTAACATACCAGATAAAAAATCAAGCCAAAGATAAAAAAATTTTCACCCCAAAAACACCCAAAACAGGATCAAACAAGACACCCCAAAAAGCCCAAAAGAAAAAAGAAAGCAAGAGAACTTGAGACAGAGATGGAGATGGAGAGAGAGCTTACCAGTAAAGAAGAAGCTGAAACAGACCGAAATGCAAAATGGGTTTTAATAATAAAAAAAAAAAAAACCCAGGATTTTCAAGAGAAATAGCGAAGAGATTGGATATTTGTGTTTAGCCTTTGGGTGAGAGTGAATTTCAATTGGGAAGGGAGAGAAACGTTAGAGAGATTGATATTTATCGAGGAAAATCCGGAACACGTGTTCTAACGTTTTGATTTGTTAGATATTTCAGTGGGTGAAAAAACAGCTGCGGTGTCCACCTTTTTCTTTGCTAGAGTTTTCTTTTTTATTGGACAACTAGCAGCCTTTTGATTTTTTTATTTTTTTTGACCTTTTTTTTTAGATTCTTTTAGTTAAGTAGGCTTTTTTTAATAAAAAAATTAGGTAAAATAAGATAACATTTTTATCCTAAAAAGGAATATTTTTTTTTTATAGATAATGGCAACAAGTGATTATGTCAAAAAAATTAATTGAAATTTGAAGTGAATTTCACAATATTAAGCACAAATAAATACTAAATACAGAATTTACAAAATAACAAAATTTATAATTGAAATGTTGTTGTGTTTCAATTTTTTATATTCTAATAAGATTATATAAAATAAAAAAATGTATCCTCCTAATTCTTTTAATAAGTGGGAGCAACCTACAGCAATCATTGTAGATTGGGTTACAATGGGTTACAGTTGATGGATAAAATGTTAATGCTAGGCGTACTTATGTAAAGCAACTTCTTGCCTTTTATGATAATTAGGTTTTGTGAACTAAATCTTTGAATCAATTATGTTATGAAATCTGTCCAGAATTCTTATTTTTTGTGAGGAAACACCCACGAAGGCTTGAATGTAGCATAGTTTGAAGTCAATAAATTTCTTGAAAGAAAACTTTATAAAAAATTCAGTAAATTTTAAGTGATTTTGCCAATATGTGAAATGATCATTGAGTTAAAACAAAATATAAAGATAGTGTTAATTTGGATTTATTGTCTTATCTTTTTATTGAATATTATATCATACATTCTCAACGGAGTTTTTAAAATCCACAAGTAAAGTTAAAATATTGTCAAGTTTTGTTATTTATTATATTAATTTATCAAATTTTTAATGTATTTTAATGGAATATGTGACAATTTCCTAACTTTGCTGATAGAGTTTAAAATTAATCTAAGTATTTATATGTATTGAGATATCTATGATTTATCTTATGTTTTTGTTCCTAGTTGTTGAATTATTTGATTTAATGTAGGGAAAGATGAACTCGGTGATATACCACTAAGTATGGAAATTAAGGTATCTTAATTATCCATGGATTTCGAATTCATTTTCTGGGTTTTGGTTGGAATTTAGTGTTAGCTTCAGAGATTTGATTTCATTGTATATTTTGTACATTTCTTTTCTTCATTTTGATAAATTTATTTTAGTTTCTTAAAGATACAAATTCTTTAACTCTGCTTCTTGGATTAAGATATATATATATATATATATATATATATTTAATCTTTGATCCTTTACTCTTTATGGATTGATGGATGGTGTTGTCCATTTGAATAAGGTATTTTCATGTTTTAGTTATAACTGTATAGTTCACTAAGTTGAACTTATTTAGTTATGACTGAAAATTTTTTATCAAATGATCGAAAAAGGAAAATTTATCAAAAAATTGTTTTAATTTATTTTTATTAAGGCTAAATAATTAAGTTGTTGTATGCTTCCAAGGTTTTTTGCACAAAATTTTTAGCGCTTACATTGTAACTTTTAACTCACACTTGCATTAAATTTGAAAATAAGAGACTAATTTGTTTTATATATATATATATATATATATACACACATTTATATATGATGGTTAAATTAGTTTGGTTTATGATGAAAAAAGGTCTGTCTTTGTGTACTGCACAACATGCTACTTGGTTTTATTTGAACAATGATTTTGATTAATAACTTCTTTTACTGTAGACAATTTCAGGCTGAAAAGAAGAGTAACTTTGATTTAGAGAAGGGAATATCCGATATATATAATCATAAATGTTAACTTTTTTTTTAATTATTACTTTATATTAACTACACGTATCACTCAAACTTTTAATTCGAACAAATATCAATTTAATAAAATATAAAAAATTATTATAACAAACAGAATGCTAGTCGAGGCCTCTTTACTAGTATACTTAAATTAACTTGCCATGAGTATGGAAGTGCAAATATTTTGAGTTCTTTTTTTGAAGATAAAATCATTCAATTGAAAGTCTTTTATATATAACATATCTTATATTCTTATTCAAAAGTGTGATGTTATTTTTGGGTTATATTCTTATGAAAAAAAAGTAAAAAGAAAAAAAAAACTCCAAGTGAAAAAAAATTTTTAAACTCTTACTTTTAGAATGTTTTGTTACTTTAGTAAAGGAGAAAATTTAAAATTTATTGCATATTTCATCTTTAAAAATAAATAAATAATCATGACTTTATTTACTCAATAAATTCAAGTGAGATAATTCTACTAGAAAATTCTACATTTTTTACTTGACTACTAAAAAATCAAAGCATTGCCCTATGAAAATATAGTGACCATCTAGAAGAATGTGACAACCCCATAAAATTAAAAAAAAAAAAAAGGTTTATTTTTGACCTTAGGGTAATGTTAAAAGTTATTATGGGTTGGAAAAATCAATATTTTCTGTTTTGATTAATTTTCTGATTTTGCTGACTAGATGATCAAATCCAAATCCTGTACTTTAATCTTCGTCCTAAGCAATCTTGAGTTACAAGAAAACACATGAAATAGACAGCCATAAGTGGAATAATATTGTAAGATTTGACAAAATTAAGCTCAGGTTTGATTAATTCAACAATTTTTTTTCTTGTTTTCTTATCTTCTAGATGCCTTTCAAGCCATACTAGAGATTGGGGGATAGTTTTTTTTTTTTTTTTGGTAAAGTTAAGTGTTTTATTTTTATTTTCAATATTTTAATAAATAGTGGTAGAGATTAAAAAAAAGCTAATTTAAGAAGTCATAGTCTATACGAAGTCTTAAGATGCATTTCCCAATTAATGGAAATCCAAAATTTTAAATTATAGTAATTGAAAAATCGATTATCTATATTACTGTAAAATCTTTGACTAATTTAATGTCATGAATCTAGTGACATCACCTCAAATGGTGATATTAAAAAAAAAAAAACTCATTATGTAATTATAACAAAAAACAAATTAATAAAAATATAATAGTCTTATAAATCTAAAACACTTCTTTTTTAATCGATAATTGTGATTAGTTTTTTCTATACTTAAAAATTGTAGGTTCAGTTTTTTTTTATTATTATTTTTAGATATGTAATTTTTTTTATATTTATTAAAATAATAAATTTATTTATCATTTCACTCCCTTGGGAGTGTGTCAATGACTAGTAAATAATAATGAGTGTGTCCTAAAATGTTTAGGTATCATATTCAAGTCTTTTTATATATGTATTTAGTATAATTTTATATAAAATTTATATTAATATTTTTCAATTAAATCTTGGTTTGTTGAAAAATTAATTCATACCTTTATCATAAAAAAAAAAACTTTGCAATCTTCATTTCATCTTGATCCAAATATATTCATGGTTGAAATTGAAGGATTAAGAATTTAAGGCCTCACATCTAGCCTAATTGTTTTCTGATCAACAATTAAATTAAATATGACCTTTCAAAAGCAATTATTATTATGTCTTTTTTTTATGTTTGTTTAATCGTGTTCTTTTGATGTTAATAATAATAATAATTATTATTATTATCATCATCATCATCATCATTAGCTATCAACTTCAAACAATAATGAAGATGTTTTGCAACTTAAATTATAGGATGTAGTTAATTGATTCTAATCGAGGAATCAGCACCGTGTGGAAGTTGTTTTATTTTTTTTATTTTTTATTTTTTATTTTTCAAAGCAATAAAAGAAGACGTGTTAGCACATGCCAAAGCCAAGAAGGGAAAAAAAAACTCAGGTTAAAAGCAAAAAAGCCCTGAAATGATTTTTTTTTTCAATAAATCTTAATGTTTCAGGTTCAAATTTTTTATATGTAGCTTTGATCTAACTTTTTATATTAAATTTATTTAGTTATATGGTAATTAGTTAACCTGTTTATTTAATATAATTCATTGAGTTATTGTCCAAATGTTACATTTAATTATAATTGTATTTGTTTGTAACTAAATTTATTCGAAAATCGAGTTATTCATCTAAAATTTAAAAGTACTTGAATATAAATTTTATATTCGTTAACTGTCTTTGGGATTGATTCTAAGGTCAGGGTAAAACCGGGTTACATGATAAAGTGAAGATCATCACTTATAATTATATACAAGTTGTAACTTCACCCAAAAAAAAAAAAAAAGGAGGTTACATGGTGAAGTTCAATGAATCATCACTTATATAAAAAAGTTATCCTCCAATATTCTTTGGAGAAAATTTTGTAGTTATTCTTTAAAAGTTTGTACTAATATATATATATATATATATATATATATATAAATTTGTTAAGTTTTAAACATTTTTTTTTCTTTTGGTACATAAAATTCAAAGATAAAACAAGTATGTCACTCTCAATGGCTGCACATTGAATTAGACTCCAACTCAAGATGAAGAACAAATTTGGTCAAAGTCTTATTTAAGTATTTGTCTTAAACTATATAATAAAAAAATGGCCCCTCTCCATTCACTAATCCCCATTCCTCTAATTTTAAGACTTTAGTATGAGATTTCTATGTTGAAAACTCCAATTTTTTTAATAATCGAAATACTTTTATTGGAGATTATTTGATTTTCTGAAATAGAATATAAATAAAACAAGGAAAAAAAATGTAAATCTTCAAAAAAAGTTGCTATTATTATTATATTATATCTTTATAATCTATAACACAGAAATGAAGTATAGCCAAGAATTCCATAATTTTCCTTTCAATGGTTTCATGCTAATTAATTGTTTATGGCTTCTAATTCTAAGGGCAAGAATGTGCCAAGATTATTCAAAACAATGTCATGTCGCCAATAGTTATATAATTTGATATAATTTGTTGATAAAATATTAAAATTTTTAATAATAAAAGTTTAATATTTGACAACTTCCATATATATATATATATATATATTTATATAAAGAAATGTTGTGTCGCCTTGTCATCATGTCTAAGTCAACGCCCCAAAATAAAATGAGAAAGAAAATGAAAAATAGATGTCTTACAATAATAAAAACAATAGTATAATTGTTATTTGTTCGATAACTTTAACTAAAAGTTTACTTGTTAATTAAGGGCTTTTAATGTATATAAATTAAGCTTCTAAAGCTCAAAACATCACAAATTGACATTTTTTATTTGAAGAAAAAATATTAATTTTTTTTTAAAATAAAAGAGTCATGTATCAATTACATAATTAAATGTTTTAAGTGCCACAAATTAACATATTAGACCTTTATATAATCGCGACAAGAACTATTATTCAATTAACTATTATTTACGATGGTGCTAAAAACACTTATATATGTATATATATATTTGTCAAAGATTAATTTTTGATAACCAAAATTAAAAATTAAAAATTAAAAATTAAAACACTCTATCAACAAATCACATATTTACAAGCTAAAAATATATTAAATAATATTTGATATCTTTTCAAGATTATCATGATAATTTAATTATCTGGGTGATATTATTATTAAAGTAATCTTATCACTTGTGATTCGAAATCGCTTTGTTTGAATAATAATAATTAATTTTTAATAATTAAAAATTATTATGATTGATGTTACTAAAAATTAAACATTATTTTATTTAAAACTATCAAAATAACTATGCATATTATAATAGTTACATAAGTTAAGGATTTCAATATTAATTAAAAATAATAATTTGTATATAACATATTAATCATATTTTATTTACTTCATAATAAATATAATTAAATTATTAAATTTAAAATATATTTATTGATAGTAAACTAATTTTTATAGTATAATTTATGTAAAAAATATTTGGATTAAAAAATAAAACTGATATATTAAAATAAAAAAATTATATTATAAATAAATTTAAAAAATTTAAAAATTCACACATAATATTTTTGAATTTGTTACAATGAATATTAATTTGAAAATATAAAAATTATAATATAAAATAACTAAAAATAATTTTAAGATGTAAATTTTTAATTTACATATTAAATGAATAATATTAGCTATTGTTAATTTTACATATCACTTCATCCCAATAATAAGAGTTTCCTATACCTCTTAGGAGAATTAAATCATCCTCCAAAACAATGATTTAATTACTCTTGATGATCCGAAATCACCACCATGAAAGATTATTAAGTGGTTACAAAACACATTAATCTAATCACAGATCACCATGATCTTTTTAATGATCACCCCGTATCAAACACCACCTAAAAGTAATTTTTAAAAGTAAAAATTCAATAGAAATGCCTATAAAATTGTACCTTTACACTTTTTTCTTTTTCATTTTTAAATCAAAACACCCAATTTTATGAGTGGCTAGGCATGATATGATAATGGAGAATTCTGGCCTCTTGCTCGATGCCAAAAGTATTATGAAGACATTGAGGATAGATGAATGATGATTGTTGGTGAATATTGTTACCCTTGAGATGAGGTGCTTTCTCACACATTTGTAGCTGCTTTTCTTACACATTGTGGATGAAATTCTACATTGAAAAGTATAAAAATGGAGGTAAAACCTGATCTACCTTTCTTGCACCTTGTGAAAGGAAACATTGGACAGTATCAATGGAGGTAAACATGTGATCTGTTGACCTTTGGTCGAATTGCAACCAACAAAATGTCTATGGTAATGCACTCATCTGTGGGGGATTTGTCATGGAAATTAGCCATGATGTGGGGCCATGAAATTACAACTCTTGCGAAGAAAATGACGGAAAGGGACGAAGGCAAGCAAATAACAGCTATTAACCTGACATGGTAATTAATTTGAGATACTACAATTTATCTTCAACTCGACGACAGCTATTATAAGAAGAAGAAAGTGGTCATAGATAATAGCTACTACTTTGGACAGAGCTTCAGGATTCTTGATATAATTCCACTGCCTATCAAGCAGGATTAATCCCTAGATAAGATGACAAATGGGAACATTCCAGTGTATCAAGTGGTTTTAAAATTAAATATTTACCTAGTCATGTTGTGCACATGTGCTTCATGAAGCAAGGATTAGGACAATATAAATTCTGTTACTAACACCCATCCTGTCTTTTACTCCATATGATCAATCATGATAATGAGAGCATCTATCTGCTCACACATAATTATTTGAACAACTGCTTATTGACAATTAGAGGTTAACTAATGATAGTTCCAAACTTACAAACAGGTAGTTCCCAACCTAATGCTTCCCTATTTACTAAAAATTTGTTCATGTTATAGACTGAGGCCCACAGGTCTGTTTGTACTCACAAACCTTAAAGATAAACTGGAGATTTCCAAAGCAATAAGCATACATGAGAAAAAACTACTAAAATAAACATTCAAGCAAGAAGCATATAACTAATTGACATTAAAGAAAAGAGACAGAAAATATAGCTTCTTCTGATAACTATACAGGGGGCAGACAAGTTTATTTCGGGCACAAAGTACCTTAACATGAGCCATTGGAAGTTGACAACAGAAGAAATCACTAGAAAGTGCTTAACTTTCAGAAAAGATGACATTTTCTTACCACCCCTATAAGAATTTCTCAATGCAGGATGTCAAGGTGGATTTGGGAACAGCACCAATGACTGCATCTTTCTTCTCCCCACTCTTGAAGATCATAACAGTTGGAATGCTTCGAATTCCATATCGAGTTGCAATGTTAGGGCTCTCATCCGTGTTAACTTTATAACATTTGAGCTTCCCAACATATTGCTTTGATAGTTCATCGATTATAGGGTCGATCATCCGGCAAGGCCCACACCATGGTGCCCAAAATTCAACAAGAACAGGCATTTCACAATCAAGAACAAGTGACTGCCATGTATCATCCTTGACTGATGGCACTGCAAATTTCAAGTACGAGCGCAATGATATATTTCACAAAATGTTATTCCTAAATACAAGAGCAAGGTCACATCAACGAAGACAGAACCCAAAAATAAAAACAGGTATGACCATAAATTTCATCAAGTTTGAACAGAAATCAAAACATGAATTCTCTGTTGTTCCTTTATCCTAATCATTTGCGAACAAGCAAAAAAAAAAAAAAAAAAAAAGAAATTGAAATTCCCTCATTTTTGCTTTAAAAGATAAACCATAGACAATGTTCAACCAAAACGAGAGACAACAAATTTCTCTAACAATCAACTAAAACACAGGTAAAAGGGCACCTCAACAGTTAGAACTTAAGACTTTCAACCTATACATATGGAGTTCGAGTCAGGAAGGGGAATTAGGGATTTATCGAAGAGAGAATTACTTCATTTTTTAAAGACTAAACAAATTTCCTACCACCTTTAACAATAACAATCGGTTAATTCTAATATGCGGATTTAAGGGATGTTAAAGAATTACTTGATTTTCTAAAGATAACAAAAACAATCGGTTAATTATAATAAAGCTTATTTGGTGAACGACATGAGTTTAAGCACATTTGAACTCAGCTCGTTTATAGCTCAATAAAACAAGTAAATTCTAAGAATTTAAGACAGGTTTGACCTTTACGGAAATCTAATATCTTTTCCTTTACACCAAAATATCCTTTCCATCACTTTCCAAGCAACCAATCAACATAGTAAAAAAATTATAACAGAAAAGACAAATTAATTTAACCGAATAAAAATGAAAAAGAAAAAAGGAAACGGACCATCAACAACAGTCTTCTGGGCCTCACAGAAAACACGTCCACCTCGATCGAGTCGACGTGGATCCCGGCTCACCGATCTGGATAAATGAGTCAGCGATGCCGACCTAGGTTTAATCTTGAGACCTCGAAATTCCGGTAGTCCAACGGATATTCTCCGATCGGAAACCAAAGAAGAAGAAGCGGCAGAAATAGCAGCAGTAATCGGAGAGAAAGTAATCGTAGCGGAAGCCATCGGGAGAGGAAATTAATCGCAGGAAAAATAATCGGAGATTTCTACAAGAGTGAGGGATTTGGAAATGATTTTCTTTTTTTTTTTTTAATTTTTTTGAGAGGAGATTGATTGGATTATAGTTAAAAAAAGGAAAGATTTTGGATGATGAGAGGGGAAGGCGTGGACGGCGCTGATTGGTTTCTCAGATGGGATATTCTGGGATTTGGATGCTTGCCACGGTGGCATTTACGATGTATGAACTGTAGCACAGGTGTTAAATTCGATAAAAAGACGATAAAAAATGGAGTACAAGCGCGTCTATGAATCTAGTTAAAAAAAATAATAATAATAAATAATAAATAATAAAAAAATATATAGTAAAAAAAGTATCAATCATAATTATTTACACATAATTATTAAATTATTACGTTCGATGATGATTCAATAATTTTGTGTAAGATGATCTTGAAAATGAATAACTAATTATTTTTGAAGATAATTTAATTTTTATTAGAAAAAGTGAAAATTTTTTATTATTAAAGTAAAATCATATGTAAAAATAACTATAGTCATCATTATTACTTATTACTTTAATATATGAACTAATAACATGCCATCGCTTTGACGTGAGTCTAAAATTTTTTATTTGTAGTTAATAATTTTTATCATAAATTTACTAAATTAGCAAGTAAAATTTTATTTAATAATTTTTTAATAAAAATAATGATAAGTAAAAATTTATTAATTAATTTGTGGATAATATATGTATTTTATTTTCAATTTCTCATAATTCACATAACAAATCAAATTTATATCTACTCTTTTAAAATTTTCTTTACAAACATAATTAAAAAATATTAAAATAGATAATTTAATAAATAAAAAATTTAAAACTAAAAAAAATAGGAGATCCAAGAATTAAAAAAAAAAAAAGAGCCAAATAAGGATGTCATGTGAGCACCTCCAATTAAGAATGGCAACGAAAAAAAATAAAAATAAATTTATATTAGTCTTAACTTTGATCTTAAAACAAAAAAAAAAAAAAAAGGAAAAAGAGCCAAAATAAAGATGTCATGTCTACTTAAGAATGGCAACAAATCAAGTAGGAGTAAATTTATATTTGTTTTGACTCTAATCCAAAATTAGGTTATTATGTTTTAAACCTAACCTTAACTCGTGTAGCAAATTAAAAAAAAATATATGTGCTTTCTTTTAATTTTTTTTAATGTTTTATAAAATATTTTTTCTTTTATAATAATTATTTTGAAAGATTTAATTTTATTTTCTACTTCAAATATTTTTTACATAAATTATATTACAAAATAATTTATCTGTCAATAAATATATTTTTTAATATAATAATTTAGTTATAGTTTGTAATGAGGTAAATAAAATATTTTTTGTACAAAATTTTATTTTTTAAAAAATTTGAAATTATTAATTTGTTATGTAATTATTATAAAATGGTTAATTTGATACTTTCAACTAATATTTGATTTTAATAATAGCAAAACACAATAATCTATAATTATTAAGATTTAATAATTAATTAATAACTAAATAAAGTTATTTCAAATTATGAGTAATAATTGCCGTAATAGAAGTATCGCTTCAATAATTAAATTATTATGGTAATCTTAAAATAAAACTAAACGTTATCTTAATTTTTTTAAAGTTAGGTTTGTTTCATTACATGTTTTTCTCCATTTTTGGCTTGTAACATTAGATGTTTTTGGAACTCAATTTTTTTCTTTTGATTTTTTTTTTATATGAGAGATATGAAAAGTAGGAGAATTCAAATATTGAATATCAAATCTCATAATAAAAAGATAAAATCACTAAATAAAGGTTGAGTTTTTTTGTCTTTGTTAAGTTACTAATTTGAATAAACATAAGTACAAGATCTCAATTATTTTTCAAAAAGGCCCCTATTTTCTACAAACATTGTATGTTTGGAGAATCTCCAAAATAAAAGTGAAAGTATCAAGTAAACGGAATTTTAATTATTTCTCTATCAATGGATGGTTGGTTTAAGTGATAAAAAAAATATATGTTTTTCTTTGTTCTTTGAGTTCAAATTCGCTAAGAGATAGAGACACAAAATGGTTGGATAGTTCATGATACAACATGATTAAGCATGATATGGATTGTGTTTGGTACAACTAGTAGTTAAATAATTTGGTTGGGCTAAGCACGATACATATATATGTGTTTTGCTGGATTAAAAAAATTTAAGTCCATAGGTCGACATGGTATGACCTGTTAAGGGCCAATGTCACATGTGGCATGTTTCACATTGGCTAACATGGCATGGCTATATGCATATGCCTAATTGTGCCATGTTAGCTCATAATTATTATAAGTGGACTCCTATCCTTTGGGTATATTTATGTTATTTTTGATATTGCAATGAAATTATACTAACTTTTGATATTTTGTTGGTAATTTATTAAATAAAATTATATTAAATAAATTTATTTATTAAATATTTAAATTATTAATAGATAAATTATTTTTAACTAAGAATTAGCAAAAATAAAATGATAAAAATAAATTAAGACTCCAAGTTAAATACAAATGGTTAAAGGGTATAAAAAGCCCTTTACCTATAATTAAAAAAATTCAAACTTTTATTTTTTTTATTGTAATCAATCAACCCCTCCAATATTTATTTATATTCACTTAAACCTTTGGAGGAAAAACTTAAAACTGCTAATTTTTTTATCAATTAAAATAAATTTTCATGTGACATTAATAAAATAAATGAAAGTTTATCATTTAGTGCAATTAATATATATGAAAATAAAATAAAATAAAATAAATTTTTTCTTTTTTGTTCTTCTCTATTTTTTTTATCATCTTTCTTTGAGATCCCTTTAAAGATACAAGTAACTATAGTTAAGGGATTGATTGATTCAATTTTGTCATATGACTAGATTTCGTCTAATTAAAGGTTTAATTGAGTTGAAATAGAAGATTTGAAGGTTTGATTGATTGCAATAAAATGTTATAGGCTTCGATGATTATTAAATTTTTGTTCGAAAGATTTTTTAACCCTTTTACCAATGCAAATTCAATTAACAAAGTAAATTAGTCTAGGATAAAAGATATAAAATAAATGCACAAAACAAAACATATTATATAAGTGAATTATCAAATGATGAGAATGAAAAATAAAATAATAATCTTGAGTGTTAATTTTTTTATACGTCTATGTGTATGTGTTTTTTTTTGAAATATTAGAATTATAATTTGAATATTTTTATTTAGTGCATCTATTTCTCCTGTCCATGAATGTAGGCATTTTGTTAAACCACATAAATTATGTGTCTTTTTTATTTTATTTTACTTCTATTTTTCTCTTACATGTTATTTTAATAATCATAGATGATTTTTTTAAAATTAATTAAAAATTTGAAAAACAATCAATGGGTTATGCTTGGCCCATCTAGACACAAAAAATGGTGTTGTACCTGGTATGATATGACCCTTGAAGATTACGGGCCACATGGTATGTCGGTCAGACTCTTAACCTTCATGAGTCATGCTAGTACAGTACTGGGTTGCATGGTCCATTAGCAAATGAATTAATATTTAAACGGGTTGTGTCGATCCAGCATAACTCATGTAGCACCTCTATTGAAAGGTTATAAAAGGATAATTTTTCATAAATTCATCGGGCTCAACATAAATTAGTCAACTTAAATTAGCTCAGACAAGCAATTTAATGGCAAAGCCAAAAATCCCTTACTACTCAATTAAAAAAAATTATTTCTCTAATTTTTAATAATTTAATTCAAAATTTCCTTTTTTTCCTCGAAAAGTCAAAATTTCTCACTCGCTCCTTTAGCTAAAAAAGTTAATTGATTCTTTACAAGAAGAAATTAATACTAATAAATAAAAAAATAACTCACATCATTAAGAGCATTTGTGGTTATAAAGTGATTAAAATCAACTTTTGAAACCGAAATATCAGGAATTACTTCTAGTTTTTAATTGCATCTCTTCTTTGTCATGACCACCTATAAATAAATCCTTTTCTTGACAATAAACTTCGTTGGAAATACATTTTACCAACCAAAGTAAAGTAGAAGGATCCTGATTAAGCATAATGGCAAGCTTCAATGTTTATTTTATTTTGGTGGCTTTATTTGTAATGAGCGGAGCAGTCATAGCTACCGAAGAGGCTGAAATTATCAAGAAATATGATTGTGAAAACGAAACCAAAATGGGTCACCATTGTATTATGGAGATTTTCACAAGTATTTTCAAAATCGGGGGTGTCACTGAAAAATGTTGTGGTGAACTTATGGTATTAGGTAAAATTTGTCACGCTGCATTAGTAAAGAGGACTCTTCAACTTCCTCAGTTTAAAAATATGGAGGAATCGAAGATTGTGGCAAAGAGTATCCAAATTTGGAACAAATGTGCTGTAGTCACCAAGAGTGTTTCACCATCTCCCTCTCCCTAAAAATTGGATCTATTCATTCAATAAAAGAAAATTTATAGAACAATAACAAGGCAAAAGTTTTAGTATGAATATTGTTTTCAATTTTCAATAACATTTGCAATTTAAGAATGGAATATAAAATTACAAAGAAATGGTTGAAATAGAACATGATTTTATTTGCATTTTTTTTAACTAAAAATCGATACATTGAGATATAATGATTAATTACTAGCAACAACAATCCTCCCACTCAAGAGTTTCTCTTTAATATTATACTTTAAATCTTTATGTATCTATTTTTTTTTCCTTTGGGACTCCAATTTATTCTTGATTTCCATCCGTTGAAGAAATTGTAGTATCTAATTCTAAAAGTTAATTGAATCAATATTTAGAAAGAGAAATTAGAAACTTATTAAATGCTCTCAATAAAATCTAATGAAGGGTAAGGCGCTTCAAATCCCTTATATACCTTTGTAGCTTTGGGTTCTATATGTATTGAACATTTTGCAACTGTTTAAGTGCTAATTATGTAAATAACCAAATAATAATTTTTTTATAAAAAAGAAAAATATATATTAAATGGAACACATATATATACATACACAATTGAGAAATTTTGGGGGATTTTTTTGAGGGTGATTGGATAATTAAAAAAAGAAAGAAAGAAAGAGTATGGATAATGAGAGGGGAAG